CTTTCATACCAAGCTGCAATGCAAGTCTTCTTTGACGTTACAGTATTCATGTTTAGTTTGATGTCCTATCAACATGCTAACTTTAGCGACAACGTATGCAACTACATGCAACATCAACACAGAATACTAGTTTTGAATGTCCGTTCCTTTCCTTTAGCAATTCGAAACTGATCAATCGTCGCTATGTACAAGCACTGTGTACACAAAATAGTGTTGCCTTGATCTAAGTGTATGGAACCAGTTAGTAGTTTTTATCATCATTGTTATTATCATCATTAATAATATTTTCATTATCATCATTAGTTATATCATCATTTCTATTATTATTATCATCATTCCTATCATCATTTTCCTCATTATTATCATTATTGTTATGATAATATTCATTACTGTTAGTACTATTACAATTATTATTATCTGATTACCATTTTCATTTTTATCAATATCACTAAAGTCATTATTATTATCATTATCAATATGGTGTTTTCATTATCGTTATCCTCATTTCTGTTATTATTATTATTGATATTTTTTAATCATTACTATTACTATTATTATTATTATTACTATCATTATTATTATTATTGTTTTTATTATCATTATAATCTCCATTATTGTTATTATCATTATGACCATTATCATTGTCATTTTTTTATCATTACCATCATTATTATTGTCATTTTCATTATCATTAATATTATTATCTTAATCGTTGTTATCATGATTATCATTATCATCGTTATTGCATCTGGAGTTCGGGTAGATTCCTCTCCCCAATGTCAGTCTACACATTCAAATAGTCTTTATAACCATAAAAAGTCGTTTCATTTTTTTATCACCCGTTTTCATGTACGTTTGATCTGATTAGGAATTCCGTTTTTTTTTCTTTTGTTTTTTCTTATTTAAAGTACTGATTTTTATCTGTCATCTACATTTCCTTTCTCTCTCTCTCTCTGTCCCTTTTCTGTCGTTCTTTTTTCTTGCAACAAATACCTTCTTGGCGTTTTTATACATATACTAAACATTAATTAGATATCTCTCTCTCTCTCTCAATCACTTGTTCTCTCTCTCTTTCAATCACTCGTTCTCTCTCTCTCTCAATCACTCGTTTCTCTCTCTTTCAATCACTCGTTCTCTCTCTCTCTCAATCGCTCACTCTCTCTCTCTCTCTCCCCCTCTGCTCCCTCTGTGCTCTCTCTCTCTCTCTCTCTCTTTCTGTCTGGCTGTATGCCCCCCTCTCCTTCTCTCTCTTCCGCTTTGTCTGTCTGTCTCTTCTCCCCTTCTCCCTCCCTTCCAGTCGTTCAATAGATGTAACAGGATTCATCAGAAACAAAAGAATTGTATTAAACTCTGGATCGAATACTCAGATAACAATCTGATTCCCTGTTGCCATTGATATTTTTTTTCGCCTTTGGAGTTTATACTTTTAATTTGTAAGTAAAGGATGGAAGGAATAATAAGAGGAGAAGGAGAAGAAGGAGAAGGTGAATGAGGAGGAGAAGGAGATGAAAGAGAGAAAAAAGAAAAGAAAAGAGGAGGAGGAAAGGGAAATGGAATAATGATAGTAAAAATAAACCAAATAGGATCATTATGACTAATATGAGGGGAAGAGAAATAAAGAGACAGACAGACAGATAGATAGAAAGATTGATAGATAGATAGAAAGAAAGGTAGACAGATAGAGAGACAGAAAGAGAGAGAAAAGAAAAACAAGACAGAGAAAGAGGAAAGATAGACATACACAGACATAAAAAACAACATACACATACAAAGAAAAGGGAAGAAAGAAAGAAAGAAAAAAACAAAACAAAACAACCAGTCATATATAAAGCCACATTTTCTACTAAAACTCACATAATCACCGGATCTGGAAGAACATCCGCACATTTCGCCGACATCAACGCTACTTTCAGATATTGCAAGTAAAGATAAACGTCGTGTGCAATTGAATTTCCCCATCAAATTACTCGTAAATGTATGTTGCATCCTCATGGTCTCACATCCTGGTCTCTATCCTGGTTTCTGACTTTCATCTGTTTTATTTTGTTTTGTTTTTTTTCTTTTCCCTTCTTTCTTTGTCGGTCCGCTCTCTCTCGCTTTGTCTTTTCCTATTTTTGTTTCCTATTCTCTTAAAGAATAAATGGATAAAACAACTATATCCTTCTTCTCTTCGTCTATCTCTTTCCTCATCCTTTAGCTTCGCATTCTCTTCCTTCTAATTATATGTTAAGCCATATTAATTGCGACAATTGTAGAGAGGGTAAAAATGAGAATGAATATCTTCACAAAACTCGAGATGTATTCGACCGGTTGCGAATACATGTATTTCTGGTGAAGATATACTCGAAACCGGTTAAATACATCTCTTGTATTGTGAAGATATTCATTCTTGTTCATACCATTTCTTCGTGGTATGCTTTTTTGTGTTATATATACATTTCTTTTTATGTTTCTACCTCTCTGTGAATATGAAAGCCTCTCTCTGCCTGTCTACCTCTGTCTGTCTTTGTCTCTATCTATCCTTCTCTCTCTCTCTCTCCCCCCCCCTCTCTCTCTCACTCCCTCCCTCCCTCCCTCCCCCCTCTCTCTCTCTCTCTCTCTCTCTCTCTCTCTCTCCCTCTCTCCCTATATCAATCTCTGTCTATGTATCAATACACTTAGACAACGTATTTTTATATACCTTTATATAATAACACATAAGCGCTGGCTGAATGAGATAATGCAATCAAGTTAAACGACATACTTATGCACAAAACTAGAATATAGTCATACAGATATTTTCATCATATTTTTTAAACCTGCAAGTCATTCACACTTTTTACGGTTCAGGATCAAGCGATTGACAGACCTCTTGACATGACCTCTCTCGAGTTGACCTGACATTCACCCTTTGGCTATTTGGGGAATTTCTTGTTTTTAGGCCATGGGAATATTTCGCGAGAGGGAGACGGAAAAGGAGAAGGAGGAGGAGGAAGGAAAAGAGGAGGGTAGAGATGAAAATAAGGAAAGAGGAGGAAGAGGAATGAAGAGGAGGAGATGTAGAAGAAGAAGATGGGAGGGGAGGGGGGTAAGTAAAGGGATTAGGGGGCACGGAGATGATTCAGAGGAGAGGAAGGGGAAGAGGTGGGGAGGAGGAGGAGAAGAAAGAGGAAGAGGAGGAGGAAGAAGAGGAGGAGGAGAAGAAGAAAAAGGAAGAGGATGAAGAGGAAGAGGAGGAGGAGTGGGATGATGAATAAAATTATGATGATAAGGAGGAGAGGACGTGGAAGAGGTAAACGAGAATGATGAGAAAGAAGAGAAAGAAAGGGAGACGGATGAAAAAAGAGAAGAATTTTTTAAAAGTCCCAATTTCCCTCGAATTATGTTATTTTTTTTTGCTTTTATACTTGTTTTAGAAGAAGACACCAAATGAAGGGAAAAATACAAATAATAGAATACCACAATGATGATAAAAAATAAAGAGAGTAACGTTGACAATCCCAAATATGATAACGACAGCAAACAGTAAGAACAAATAACAATAACAAGGAGAGATGAAGAGACGGAAACATTTGATAAAAAAGCATAATCATAAACTTGTGATTAATTGAAATAGATAAATAAATGAATGGATATTCCAATGGATAGAGAAATTGATCAAATGGAGGATAAACAAATTAATAACTAATGGAATTGATAGTGTAGTAAGAATAGTGTTTAAATTAATTGATATATATCTAAGTGAATGAAAAAGAAAACAAATAGAGAAATGAAAAACAAAAACAAAAAACAAATAGCAAGCAGATGGACAACCAAACACACAAGCAAACAACAAACAAATAAACAGCAAATAAACAACAAACTAACAAACAATTACAATGAAAAATGAAAAACAAACAAATAGCAAGCAGACAGACAGTCAAACAACAAACAAACAAACAAACAAACAACAAACAAGAAAAACAACAACAAACAACAAACAAACAACAAAAACCAAACAAACACAACAAACACACACATTCACATCCAGCCCAACCCAAAAGGCTCAATACACAATCAATTTGCTTTAAAATAATACCTTTGTCGGTTCGTTAATTATCATCAAACTTAAGAAAGAAGGATAAAGAAGGATTGTGAGGCAAGGATATGTCTCATTAAGGAGGATTGGTTGCCGTGTTAGTTGCCCATTCAAGATTTATTGGAAAAAAGATATATATTTATTTTCCTTCATCTTCGTTTTCTTGGCGATATTGTTGTCTGAAAAGTGATACACTTTTGCACAGATATGTTCTTACATATATACATACATATATACGTACACAAATACGTATATACTTACATATGATAAGATTTACCTACCCACTACCCATTGTCCTACCTACTACGCATCACTAATTACCTAACCATTACCCATTAAACTTCCCCTTAACCATTTACGTACCACTACATTTACAAACCCACTATCCATTTACTTACTCACCCATTACCCATCAATTACCACTTTACCTTCTATTGCCATTACCTACCCACCCATAAACCTTCCCTATACCATAAATCTACCCATTACTCATAAACCTACCCATTACCCATAAACCTACCCTATACCCATAAACCTACCCATTACCCATAAACCTACCCATTACTCATAAACCTACCCTTTACCCATAAATCTATCCATTACCCATAAACCTACCCACCCATAATCCTACCTTTACCATAAACTACTATACCCATAAATCTACTCATTACTCATAAACCTACCTATACCCATTACCTATAAACCTACACACAACCCACAAAACCCTATACCCATAAACCTACCCACAACCCATAAACCAACCACAACCCATAACCCTAACCTATACCCATAAACCTACCCTTTACCATAACCTAACCACAACCATAAACCTACCCTTTACCCATAACCTAACCTATACCCATAAACCTACCCTTTACCATATAATCCTACCCTATACCCATAACCCTACCCACAACCCATTTTCCCCATTTGCCCGCCTTAC